GCTGGCATGGCTGCTGTATGAGGGAAAGGCTGTGACTGATCAATGAACACCTATGACAGAAGAAGGCTCAGAGAAGACAGGCAACGATGATGTGCTCGTAAAGCTCAGAGAAGAATGTAGGGAGTAACCACAGCTCTCGTAAAAGCAGCTGAACTTATCCTAACACCAAGGAGGCCAGAGGACAGCCTTTGTTGTAGATAAACAGCAGTATCAGTTGAGTGGGTCAACTGGTTATGTACATGGTCTTCCTAAATAATCAACAGAAAGTATTATCTTCCCGAGACAGCCAGACCAACATAGGAGAAGTGTGTATGTGGCTCAGCCCAACATAGAGCATAAAAACTGAACACCCATCAAAATGAGCTTTGACGAGAGCAACACATTTGAGTTGGCTTCAACCTGTGCATTTCTTCCCAGCAACTGGGGATGCCCAGCATCCTGATGGTGAGCTGACAGTGAGCGTATAGAGAGTGGTAACATGAACGACGTTTGTATTGCGATTCAACGGTATATCACAATTGCTATATTGCGCTTGTATTGTGATTTCAGTATATTGCTGTATCACTCTTCTAAACCAAAACCTTGTGTAACATCAAATATCTTCAGATAAGTAAATTTAGTATTAGAACATCAAACTCTTCTTCTGTGGAATATGTAAAACAACCTGGTCAGAGAGTATTGGACTCTGACAAAGGGAGCCTTTTTGCTGGACTCCAATTGCAGTTAGGCCTGGAAGAACCGACCTTATTCCTCCCTACATACTCTTGACAGCTCAACTTACCCCAATAAGCCCTAAAAGCCATGACTAAAGGACTCCAGTATTACCTTTAAGACTGTAACAGCTAGAGAGTGTCAATGTGTTATCAACAGAGGAGGAGAGATCTGGACCACGAAGAGCCATTTTGGCCTAAGAAGGGCTGGGAGAAGAACCTTGCTCCCAGAAAGTGCAACAGCATGGACAATAGTCAGCCAATGAATTCAACAACCCAGAGAGGAGAGAACATTTCACACAAATTTCACACAAAACAGTACCACAGACATCATTACCTAACAGAATGTAAATATCCATCATAAGCCACTTGTTTTGTCTCTCTGAAAAAAGAGTCCTACAGAACTAAGATGCACTGTTAAACTAACAGGCAACAGTAAATAAATGTTAGCAGAAGATGGAATAAGAATCAAACCAATTTAAAGTCATTGGGTATTATGGCTTTCTAATATACTTATAAAGGGCCAAAGTTGCTGGCATGCAACCAAATAACTTGCATAATTCTTATGTTTTTTCACTGCGTGAAGTTTTTTTTTTCCTAGAAATGTAATAAATATACTGAGAAGGTAGCCACTTCTTTCTTTCTCTTCACTATACAGCATACTGTTACTTGTCTGCTTTGCTATTTATTTCAAATAATTGTGTCCCTTTTCCTCTCAGAAATAAATGACTTTGTGGCTGTTAATTAACATGTGGCAGACCAGAAAGAACTGCATACAGAATGTCTGACCCAGCTATATAGTTGTACTGCTTGTCCACTTCCCTCTTCCCACTTCAGAAACCCGCCAGTCTTCATAGTCTTATTATGCCATGCTTATTCCAATATGGGCATCCAAAAGTGCAACAATGTCTGCACTCGATGCCTTTCAGTCAGAAATCTGGGCTTGTGTTACGCCTTGTCTCTTTTGATGTCTGATGATCTTCGGCAGTCCAGGATGCTTTGCATTGTAATTTTTGATGTACGTTTCCAAAGGTCCTTTCAGATCACCTAAAACCAGCCCCCACATTTTAATGATTTAAAAAGAAGGGAAGGGAAGGGAAGGGAGGGGAGGGGAGGGGAGGGGAGAGGAGAGGAGAGGAGAGGAGCGGAGAGGAGAGGAGAGGAGAGGAGCGGAGAGGAGAGGAGAGGAGAGGAGCGGAGAGGAGAGGAGAGGAGAGGAGCGGAGAGGAGAGGAGAGGAGAGGAGCGGAGAGGAGAGGAGAGGAGAGGAGCGGAGAGGAGAGGAGAGGAGAGGAGCGGAGAGGAGAGGAGAGGAGAGGAGCGGAGAGGAGAGGAGAGGAGAGGAGCGGAGAGGAGAGGAGAGGAGAGGAGCGGAGAGGAGAGGAGAGGAGAGGAGCGGAGAGGAGAGGAGAGGAGAGGAGCGGAGAGGAGAGGAGAGGAGAGGAGCGGAGAGGAGAGGAGAGGAGAGGAGCGGAGAGGAGAGGAGAGGAGAGGAGCGGAGAGGAGAGGAGAGGAGAGGAGCGGAGAGGAGAGGAGAGGAGAGGAGCGGAGAGGAGAGGAGAGGAGAGGAGCGGAGAGGAGAGGAGAGGAGAGGAGCGGAGAGGAGAGGAGAGGAGAGGAGCGGAGAGGAGAGGAGAGGAGAGGAGCGGAGAGGAGAGGAGAGGAGAGGAGCGGAGAGGAGAGGAGAGGAGAGGAGCGGAGAGGAGAGGAGAGGAGAGGAGCGGAGAGGAGAGGAGAGGAGAGGAGCGGAGAGGAGAGGAGAGGAGAGGAGCGGAGAGGAGAGGAGAGGAGAGGAGCGGAGAGGAGAGGAGAGGAGAGGAGCGGAGAGGAGAGGAGAGGAGAGGAGCGGAGAGGAGAGGAGAGGAGAGGAGCGGAGAGGAGAGGAGAGGAGAGGAGCGGAGAGGAGAGGAGAGGAGAGGAGCGGAGAGGAGAGGAGAGGAGAGGAGCGGAGAGGAGAGGAGAGGAGAGGAGCGGAGAGGAGAGGAGAGGAGAGGAGCGGAGAGGAGAGGAGAGGAGAGGAGCGGAGAGGAGAGGAGAGGAGAGGAGCGGAGAGGAGAGGAGAGGAGAGGAGCGGAGAGGAGAGGAGAGGAGAGGAGCGGAGAGGAGAGGAGAGGAGAGGAGCGGAGAGGAGAGGAGAGGAGAGGAGCGGAGAGGAGAGGAGAGGAGAGGAGCGGAGAGGAGAGGAGAGGAGAGGAGCGGAGAGGAGAGGAGAGGAGAGGAGCGGAGAGGAGAGGAGAGGAGAGGAGCGGAGAGGAGAGGAGAGGAGAGGAGCGGAGAGGAGAGGAGAGGAGAGAAGAGAAGAGAAGAGAAAAGAAGAGAAAAGAAAAGAAAAGAAAAGTTAATCAATCTTAAGAAATGGAAAAGATCATGGAGGTAATGGCTTTCTAGTTTCTTCCATTCCAAACTGCAAACAGATTTGTTCTTTGCAACAGAACGGGTAGAATTATTCAGGTACTCATGAATTCAAGAGGCTTATTTTTAAAACCACCTTCTACTTCAGGAGTTCAGTTAAGTACGTAAATATCATTTACATATAGTGCTGTACGGCTTCTAAATTGTACACAAATACATCAGTACGTAGAAACTTCAGTTGCGTGCCATAACAGCAAGCAATTAGCTGTGCAGTAATTTCTGTGTGTATCTTTTACCATGTGGAAAGGAAAAGAGAAAATAAACAAGCCCTGAAAATATGAAATGCTCCTATAAGAACTGTAGGAATGCCAACTCCCTCACCAAAGAAAAAAAGTGTCAGAGAAAAGGAGTAGAAAGTTGGGACCTCTTAGCATTGTTTTGGGGAATTAACTTAAACTCTTGCTCCACCCAAATAGACATGTTTTTCTAGCAGCTACAAAGCACTAGAAAAATGAGAAATGAAACACATCTCATCAGGCAAAGAAAAAAATAAAAAAGCGCCCTTATGATCAGGAGCATGACTGTTTCTTATGGATGATTTCACAATCTCAGCTCCAAGAGGCACAATGCACCCACTGTTTCCCCTAGGAGTGTTTTCCACAACCCAAGACTCTTCAAGGAGTTACTTCAGATAGCTGCAGAGATAGTTTTCTTAGCATACTCTTACTTTGGTAATTTACCTGATGAGCCAGTGATGATAGTCTCCCACTTCAATTTTTAACCTTTGCAAATACTTGCAGAGAATCATGCTGTTCCTTATTAGCTGTCCTTTTTCATGCTATTAAGGTGTATTTTTTTTTCTCATGTACTCAAATTACTTCTTAATTTTGAGCCGTCTACTCTGTGTGCACCCAAAAGGCCACCAACATTCATTTAACACAATAGTGGCATAAATTAGCAAGACTCCTGCCTTCCCTGGATCACTTACCATTTGAACTGTAATCATCTACCAGGACGATTTCTTTCAATAAATGAGAAATTGTTCTGTTAATTATACTAGTAATTGCATATAAGGTGCTTCATAAATATAAGTACAACACTGACTGTTGGGAGGTCTTTCAGATATGTATTTCATACATATCAAAATATTTCATTTTACAGCTGTAACGGAAGAAGAACAACTTTACAGTTTCTAAAGAAAGTCAGAGAGCAAGGCGCCTGCAAGAAGGCAGAATTGGGAGGTTGGGCTTAAAACATATAGTGAAAAATCAGCATAACAGTGGAAAAAACAGAATTCTCAAATCCAAGTTTCATTATTCATTTGAGTTGTGTTATGTATGTACATAAACCTTTGGGGAAAGTTAAAATTTCTCGTAAGACAAAAAGAACAATTACTGCTTCTCAATCCAAAATACTTGTAAAATATTGAAACTAAAGAATCAGTTAACTCAGCCAGGGATGCTTAACTTACAAGGCAGTGGACATGTGAGTTGAAATTTGGCTTTTTGCTTTTACAGAAGGAGATGACAATGGCCAAACCTGACAGCAGACAAAAGCAAATTAGATAACCCCTTTGTATGTGCAATGAAGAAGAACAAGGTAGATCTACCTATACTTATAAACTGACATGGGAGAAGGATTCCCTTGGACAAGGGATCTCTTCAGGAAATTCTTGAAAGAGCTTCAAAAACCCTTACAGCATAAACCAGGCCTTGTAGAAGTCCATGCTACCCCAGAATAAATTATTTCCAGTACTGAAACAAACTTGTTTTGTGCTGTTTGAATACCTCTCAACTTCAAAAGATTTTTAATTTTTTTTTTAAGTATACATTTGGGATAATTGTCAGCTCTGCTAATTAACATCCCGGCCACCAGGCAGATGGTGGGGACTGGGTCTTCTTCATAGTGCTAAGCACTAACTCCCTCTAGAGTAGACAAGAGAGCATAGCTAGATTCTCAGGCTGATCATTCCCTCCTCTTAGAAACACACTCAGGAAAGCAATACTCAGGCTGCATGAGTTGTGTGGCTATATAATGCAGCCCTCAGAGCCAGGCTCATGCTCCAGGTAGACCTCTACAGCGGCAATTGTGCACAGATGGAATGCATTTTTGTTGGAATTTCTCCATTAGCTTTATTTTCCATTAGAGCAGGAGCCTGGATGACTAATATCTGCAAAAGGCAGTCTCTGCAAATACATCTTTATGAGGTATTTGTATTTCTTTATGATGCTAAGCAGAGGACTGCCAGGCACCGCGTCCATTCTTTGGGACCATGCAGGCTAATCAGACACTTTCTCCAGCCACCTCTGCGGCAGCTGCTGCAGATAGCTCTCCAAAACGATCACCCAGCAGAGTGGAGATTGTTCAGCTCAGGGCTGCCTCAGGAGGGTCCGTGGCTGGCCCATCACTGCACGAGGGCTGTCTCCCTCAACCTTCTCCTCTGTAATGCTCACATAACTCCTCACCCTGTGCCTGAGCACCCCGAGACATGCTGCACCCGAGAAAGCCCCCCCAAAACTCACTCTGGAAGCTACTACACAACCCTCACGCTACTTCAGACACGATGAACTTCTCAGTTCACAGACACATGCAAACTGTCATTTATGGCTTGATCCAAGCCCCAGAGGACACCCACAGTCAAGGGCAACATATGACGATCTGCCCAAGATGGAACCAGCTCCATCCAGGCAGCACAATGAGGACCCAGTTGCATAAACTGCTCTTTACATCTTCCAGAGGGCTGACAGTAAGACAACTCCCCTTTTCCCAAGTGCGGCATTGTTAATTTGCACGCAGTTTGCAATCCACTCTGCCCCCCCACATCCTTTTCTGAAACACTCCATCAGATTTAGTACAAGCGACCACAGGTACAAAGCTGTAGGTTTGCAGAATATCTACGACATTCTTCCACGTTTACACCAGTTAATTCCTGTAAAGGTTACTATATCTTTTGCAATAAATTGTGTATCTTATGATACTATACAGAAAAAAAGTGTGCCTGCTTTTTTAACAGATACTTGGTTCCAATGAGGTTTTTGATGGCTCCCATAGTACCACTGGTCTGCTTCAAAAATATTATCTAGTGGCTTACAAGAAACAACTAATCCCTGGTAAAATTCCTTAAGCTTCTTCTTCTGAAGTGGACCACTTACTTACCTACATTTTAATTCTTTAGATGTTTACCCCACTATATTTTCCATGTAATTAATCCTCATACTTTTTGACAACTTGAGAGGGAAACAGAGAAAATAATGCTATAGGGAAACTCACAAGGTCACCAGTCCATTATGGGTATGCCTACAATACTAGAGAGCGCCAAGGATTCAGGTCAAGTGCTGAATCCTCCCTCACCCTTCATGGGACCCACTGGCCAATAATTAGTTCCAGCCACCTCTCTTGTTTGATTCCTAATCACCTTTCAATAAGCAGTATAAGCATTCTCCACTTACGGTCCACAACATAGCTAAGAAAAACAAGTGTTTTGTTAAAAAGGGCAGAATTTTACAATGTAGAGGTTTACTTCTTCATTGACTATATTTTAGGGTTTTTAGGGGGGGGAAGGGGGGAGGGCAGGGAGGAAGTTAAAAAACACCACTTTGGATATCTCGGCACATAGAAGGCTTAAATAAGGTAACGTAAGGGGCAAGAGAAAGCAACCATGGATGTTATCTACCTGGATTTTTGCAAGGCTTTTGACACCGTTTCCCACACCATTCTCCTGGAGAAACTAGCAGCTCATGGCCTGGAAAGGTGTACTCTTCGCTGGGTAAAAAACTGGCTGGATGGCCATGCCCAGAGAGTGGTGGTAAATGGAGTTAAATCCAGTTGGTGTCTCATCACAAATGGTGTCCCCCGGGGCTCAGTGCTGGGGCCAGTTCTCTTTAATATCTTTATCAATGATCTGGATGGGGGGATCAAATGCACCCTCAGTAAGTTCACAGATGACACTAAGCTAGGTGGGTGTGTTGATCTGCTTGAGGGTAGGAAGGCTCTGCAGAGGGATCTGGACAGGCTGGACCGATGGGCTGAGGCCAATGGTATGAGGTTCAACAAGGCCAAGTGCTGGGTCCTACACTTGGGTCACAACAATCCCATGCAGTGCTACAGGCTTGGCGAAGAGTGGTTCAAAAGCTGCCCGGCAGAAAAGGACCTGAGGGGTGTTGGTGGATGGCCAGCTGAATATAAGCCGGCAGTGTGTCCAGGTGGCCAAGAAGGCTAATGGCATCCTGGCTTGTATCAGGAATAATGTGGTGAGCAGGACTAGGGAAGTGATCATCCCCCTGTGCTCAGCCCTGGTGAGGCCCTACCTTGAGTACTGTGTTCAGTTTTGGGCCCCTCAGTACAAGAAGGACATTGAGGCGTTGGAGCATGTCCAGAGAAGGGCTCCAAAGCTGGTGAGGGGTCTGGAGGACAAGCCCTATGAGGAACGACTGAGAGAACTGGGGTTGTTTAGCCTGGAGAAGAGGAGGCTGAGGGGAGACGTTATCACCCTCTACAACTACCTGAAAGGAGATTGTAGAGAGGTGGCGGCTGACCTCTTCTCCCTGGTGAAAAGTGATAGGATGAGAGGAAATGAGGTTTAGATTGGATATTAGGAAACATTTTTTCACTGAAATGGTTATTAAACATTGGAATAGGCTGCCCGAGGAGGTGGTGGGTTCAACATCCCTGGAGGTGTTTAAAAAAAGGGTAGATGTGGTACTTAGGGACATAGTTTAGAGGTGGTTTTGTCAGGGTTGGTTGGACTTGATGATCTGAAAGGTCCCTTCCAATCTTAGCAATTCTATGATTCTATGCTTCAGATGTCCTGACCTTGGGGCTTAAATAGAATGTAAAGAGACCAGAAGGTTTCATATCTTCTGAATACTATTGTTAGTCTTTCCCCTTTTTACTGACAGTTAAAAGTTCTATATCACTTATAATGTTAACATTATATTCTTTTTCTTAAGTGTCTTCTCTACACTGTGACTTCATTTCGAAGTCTTTGGAGGACTATGAGTCTGAGCAAGATTTGGCAGAAAATGAAAAAAAAACCTAAACAAACAGAGCACAAATTGAGATCTGTTAGCAGATTATTTTAACTTAGTCCAAAGCAACGTGGATCTGTTTCCCTTTAATTTCATGTATCCTTGTGAATGTAGAGAGGGCTTATACTGTACCTGGGGAGATCTACTGACTCTGATAGGTTGGTCTAGAGGTAGATGATCATCGAGATAAACATTATACCCATAACTTAAGAACAGATTCTGTGCAACAGTTTGCTCCTCTTCCCTTAAATCTTCACCCCAGCATTTGAACAATACTGACTCTGGACACAGCAATTTTTTTGCATTATCAGCTTTGTGTACTTCAGTCTTGGAACATGCAGCTTCAGATCATGTTCTATTTGTTTTCTGTTTTCAGAGAATGCTTCCGCTAATTGAAAATAAAAGAGGATTGATTATAACAGCAATTGAGAACACTCTCCATCATTGTAACTGAGCCAAATTCTCCTTATAACGCTGAAGGTCAAGAGATCTGTAAGTTACAACTAAAATGATATTCACATTAGAGTAGCATCAGACCCTGTTTTAAAAATCATATTTCACAATATCCTGCGAGAGGTTCTGCTCTCAATTGCACAAGCGCAGAGCAAGGGACACTGTGCTGGCATCAGTGGAGAAATATGGGAGCAGAGGCAACACACAAATTGTTAAACTGGACCCAAATAATTTCCATGATGTTATGCTTGAGTTACATTAATGTCTTAATGATCCATAACAGGATTCCCATCTAAGTCAGGTTGTTGATAACATTGATCCTGAAGGTAAATACAGTAAATAAGCCCTTTGCCATCTCCTTTAATAATTCCTAGTGGAATCTTTTGATTTCTGCTTAGAAAGATTTGAACAAGGTGAACTTTAATCTCTCAAGGTTTTGTTAGGTTCACGATATTGTGCCATAAAGAAAAGGCACGGATAGCCTGCGTGGGGTTGCTTAGGACATACTGTTCTTGAAGGTAAATACAATAAATGAGCCCTTCGCAGCATCTTTTGAAAAGCTTATTGTCAGTTTTGATTTCTGCTCTATCAGAAAGCTTTGAGCAGCTTTGAGCAGGGTGAATCCTAATCTCTCAAGGTCTTGTTAAGTTTACAATATTGGACTGTGCCATATAAAAAAGGCACAGAAAACCCGTGTAAGTTAAAGCTTTCTACTATTAAATTAGTGTCCTGGTGAATAAGGGGAGAGAAGTGGATGTTGTTTAAGCTCAAGTAAGGCTTCTGACCCTGCCTCTCACGCACAAGCTGAGGAAGTACTCACTAGGTAAGCAGATAGCAAGGGGGACCGAAGTGACGGGATCAGTGGCACAAAGTCCAGATGGAGGCCAGTCACTAGTGGAATACCCCATGGGGTCAGTACTGGTTCCAATACTGTTTTAATATGGTCATTAGTGACCTTGAACATGGGTCAGAGTGCACCTGCATCAAGTCTGTGTATGATTCTGAACTGCGAGGAATGGCTGATACACCAGAGAGGCCTGCTGCCATTCAGTGGGACCTGAAGAGGCTGGAGAAACAGGCCAACAGGAACCTCATGGAGTTCAACATAAGCGGGTGCAAAGTCCTGTACCTGTGGAGGAACAACCCCATGGACCAGCACCAGCTGAGAAGCAGCTTTGCAGAAAAGGACCTGGGGGTCCTGGTGGACACCAAGTTGAACACGAGCCAACAGCGCGCCCTCGTGGCAAAGAAGGCCAACGGTACCCTGGGCTGCCTTAGGAAGGGCATTGCCAGCGGGTCGTGGCAGGTGATCCTTCCTCTCACTACTGGTGAGGCCACATCTGGAGTACTGTGTCCAGTCCTGGCCTCCTCAGTACATGACAGACATGGACATACTGGACCAAATCCTACATAACAGCCACCAAGATGATTATGAGATTGGAGCATCTGCTATACAAGGAGAGGCTGAGAGGCTGTCCTTTCCTACAACAACTCCGTTGTGTCTGTGCTCATGGTACATGAAGGAAAAAGACTGAGTAAGTCACAGTTGCCCTTGCTGCTCACCCACACCGAAGAGACAGAGGCTAAGGAAATGGGGCATTTACAGTTTCTATCAAAACCAGCCATTTATGGCAAATAAAATAATGACAAGAATAATAGCTACCTGAGATTAGTATACTGGTACAATCACCTTAAGATTGCTTAATATTTCTAAAGAATTCAGGGTCAGGAGCTGTCTAATATGCAAAAGAAAAAACCCATTATGACTGTGAAAGACTATCGTTTTGCGTGTAAGTAGAGAAGCTATCAAATCTTTTTCAAGATTGCAAGAAAAAGAAAAAAAATCAAAAGCGTCCAGGGGAACCCTAAGAAACACTGTCACTGCTATCTACTATTCTATCCTTCAGGAAATCTAGATACCTAATCTTCAAAAAGGTAAGCAGCATGGCATTTTACTTATGGGGGCTGTGAATGTTCCCGTCCAAATGGTCCGCTTTCTGAAAGATGTTATTTTCTTGGTTCAGAGATCGAGGATTAACTTCCAAGGAATCAAGTCTTCCCTTTCTTTGATCTCGCAGTAAGTGCACCAGATAACACACAAAACCTGTTTTCGCGATCAATAGGGCAATACTTTATGAGGGCTCTTCCAGGGTGCCATTGTAAGCTTAAAGGAACTCAAGTGTTCTGCTGCTGGTTGGGGTTTGTCAGTGGTTCTGGATCTGCACTGGGTCTTCTTTCCAAATGCACCGTTTCAAACTTCCTCTACTTGACTGAAAGTTAAAACGGCGCAGATGAAGTAATTAACAGAGTCTAATGAGAACTGATGCTGATAATGTACAGCTTACAGGTGTTTTCACTTGCATGCTCATATGTATCTGTACAAGTTATCGATGTCAGAGGAAGCATGCAGCTCTCACTGGCTTGTGTAGTGAGTGACGTGAACTGGGCGACCTGGGGTGATGCTGTAGGAAGCGCAGGGCTGTCGGGTATATGTCAGAAAGCCTACTCATGCAACAAAGCACATGTGCACACAAAGACAGCTGGAATAAACTGCAAGCCAGTTCTATGTTTCCTGGTCATTAGCAGCTGGGGTATTGTGAATCTAACTGAACAATTATGTGAAAAATACATTAAAACAGATTTTCCATCAGTTTTTGAGCTGGCTGGAAGCAACTGTGACTGGCAAAGGGTACTTCACAGCCCTCTCCCACACAGGCCATTCCTGCAGCTCACCACTACCAAAACCCTGCCAGTTATGCCCTAGAACACGTATGTGAATTGGAAGCAGCACTCACAACAATAACTAGCACATAGAGCTTGCTTTTCCATAAAAGTACCAAGCTGCTTCAAGCTTCCCAGCATTGCTGTCCCAGAGTGGGTCATCTGCTGGCTACAGTCCCTGAGGGCTGTCCCTGCCCCAGTGCGTGGGGCAGGGACAATTTTTTATGTAGCAAATTTTTTATATAGCAAAGAATCAAAAGTCTGACTTTCCACATGCACTGCTGGCTGAAGGGATGCAGGAGCTCCAGGAATAGCTTGCAAACGGAAGGTGACAGTAGCTTCACAGAGGTCCCAACACTGTATTGCTAGAGAGCCAAGCTGACTCCTCTCCACACATCTGACTCCCTTACCACCAAGCAGGGCTTCTGTAAGTAGCTTGTACTCACCTTTGCTCTCACCCTTCCCAACAGCCACACCAGACCACACTTGAAAGTCTCCTCAGCGGCAGGCAGTTGGACATACCAAGCCAATTACAGCACTGTGTTTCTGCTCTTGACAGGTCTGGGTTCTCTATAGGATAGTACAGACTGCTTTGACCAGGGACCAGAAACTGAGGGACACCTCCCCAAGCACAGTCAGTTTGCAATAGGCAGGTTCAGGGATCATCTTGAGACAAGCAAGCTCAGTAGTTTTAAAGGAACATGAACCCTCTATTGAGAAAATCAACAAGCTGCTGTTGTCAAAGTTTGCTGTTGGCCAAGACCAGTACGTCCATGGTAGAAAAAAAATCATGGGATACAACCCCACCACTAAGTAAAACCTCATCAAGGCGCAGGGTCATTCATTTCCCAGTTATTGCCAATACCGTAATTGTTGACGTGTTCCTGCCTGTACCATCTAGGACTTTCCCATAGAATACCTGCCACAATTTGCAGAGTAAGACTTACCAAAGACTTTCCCTGCAGGAATAACTTGAGCTTGGTGAGTGTGTTCTGGTCAGCAGTGGGAGAGAGGAGCTAGGTGTGCCAGCAACAGTTGTGTCCTTTCACTTACACTTCCAAGCCTGAGAACAATCCCTCAGCTGGTCTTGCAGGAAAACATAGATGTAACTCTGTATGCATAACACTGCCCGCCCTCCTGCACAATGATTCTGGCCAAACCAGAAAATCAGATGCCCTACGTAGAAAGGAATCATGGGGAAAACAAACAAACAAACAAAAAAAAAACCCAAAACAAAACAAACCACAAGGGAATAGTTTGTTTCATTTAGGTTTTTTACAGCTCCAAGAATATACCACTTACACATGCCAATAGGTTGCTTGATTCACACAGGTTAAAAAGCTGACCTTCAAATAGAAAGCTAAGATACTCCTGCTCCTTTTAGACTTTCAGAACCTTTGTTTTGATGGTTTGTTTGTTTGTGGGTTGTTTTGTTTTTTGTTTTGTTTTTTTTTGGGGGGGGGCAGTTCATGAATGCTTGCACAGAGAAGACAAAGTACCTTCCCGAAACAAAGATTATGCTTTTGTCAACATTTTATGGAAATCCAAGAAAGGGAAAAATAAAAGGCCTCAGGACAGAAACAGGTTTAGAAAAAACATGTCAGAATGAGATTCATCCTGGGAAAGAAAAAAATAAGCTAGCAAGAACATAGTAGGTTGTACTGTGAAGTCCACTAAACAGGGTAACAGGAAATGAACAACTGCTGTCAAATTAACTACAGCGCGAAATGCGAGGAAGAAAGGGTAGGGCAGTTCAGGATTCACATGCCACCACACACAGCAAGGTATGTCTGTTTGCTGTAAACTCTGCTCAGATCATGGCTGAAATGCTATCCTGATATTACTGCATAGCTCGTTTTAAAGACATAAAAAAAAAAAAAACCAACCCAGAAGAGCACCTTGTACTGTACATGTTGTGGTTAAACCATGGCAAGTACTGTACTACACATTGTAAATGCAGAGGAATACCTTGATTAATAGTGCAAGTGTACTACAATAGTATTTAAATACTGTGTATTTTAAAACATTTATTTTTAAAATACTAAATTTTTGGTTAAAAGTACCAACAAAACACTACTTTGGTAATAGGAACATTTTTGGTGTGGGTTGGGAATAATGGAGCAAACAGGAGAGAGGAAAGAAGAATGCCTACATGAGCTGTACAATTCCACTCACATTCAGGATCAAAGAATGATCCTTTACTGGTCTTGTATCACAGCTGTGCTGCGATACACTGAAGAGATGAGGGAGGGCAAACAATTTCTAAGATGCAGAATTTCCAGGGGTTGCTGGTAAACACACTCAGCAGCCTCCACAGCTAACACGGGAACACTAAGCAAGAGTCCCATACTAGAGAATTCAGCAGCATTTTTGCCAAACTCAAGAATTCTTACCCTCCATGGTAGAAACTGAGCGCTGTGGTAGCCTTCCATTACAAGGAAGGACAGTGCATTGGAACGGGAGTAGAAAGAGCTGGTCCACGCCCAAGATTTTGTTAATGTCCCTATTTTGTATCCTGGGCTGCATAAAAAGCCCAATTGTATAGAGAACCCCATGGTACCCTGGGCTGCATAAAAAGTGTGGCCAGCAAGTCGAGAGAGGCAATTCTCCCCCTCTATTCAGCTCTTGTGAGACCCCACCTGGAGTACTGCATCCAGCTCTGGAGCCCCCAACATCAGAAAGACATGGACCCGTTGGAGTGAGTCCAGAGGAAGGCCACGAAGAGTGGGGTTGTTCAGCCTGGAGAAGAGAAGGATTCAGGGAGATCTTATTGCAGCATTTCAGTACCTAAAGGGGGCTTATAAGAAAGATGGAGAAAGACTTTTTGCCAGGGCCTGTAGTGACAGGACAAGGAGCAACAGTTTTTAACTGAAATAGGGTAAGTTTAGATCAGACATAAGGGGAAAAAAAGTTTCTATGAGGATGGTGAGACATGGGAAGAGCTTGCCCAGAGAAGTTGTGGATACGCCATCATTGGAAGCGTTCAAGATCAGGCTGGTCAGGGATTTGTGCAACCTGATCTAGTGAATGATGTTCCTACTCATGGCAGTGGGGTTGGACCAGGTGACCTTCAAAGGTCCTTTCCAACCCAAACAATTCTATAGTTTCTCATGTGTTTTTTTTTCCCTCCATCTATGTAGAGGAAAAAGTAGTGGCATAAGATGAACAGAGTACAAAAACAGCCATGATAAACCCTGTCCCCAAAAAATCACATGCCTATTTTTCTAACTGTTCTGCAGAAGCCATTATTTTATCTTCCTTTTTCCTTGGAAGTCATACTTTCTTGTACTATACCAGGAAAGCTGAGATATTAAAAAACTCCTTTCATATATACATATCTACACACAAAACATAAAACTTTGAAGGAAAGTATTTAATGCCTTTTAAATAAGTTTTATCATCCCAGAGTTGGCTGATAAGTGTTGGCTGATAAAGTTATAGAAGGGGTTGAAAACCTAGAAAAAACATTTGCTAAGCAGTAGCTCTGACTGCTGGGCGATTTAATTCTAATCAAGACTGTTGCAATACAAAGGGTAAACCAATGCACACATGTTGTTATACATGTTTCTCAAACTGGACACTCGATGCCCTTCTCCAAATCAGAATCCCAGCAACAAAATCTGTGGGATCTGGATGAGATTCCTTAGTGACAATGAGAAAGGTGATTTCCATTTTCTAGTCTTTACACCCACCCCACCCCCCCAAAAAAAAACCCCACAACCCCAAAAAAAACCCACAATCAAACAAGCTTTGCCCATTACATTAAACCACTCTCCAAAATCTTGGAAGTGGATCAGCTGTGATTTCTTGTTGCTGACTTATACACAAGCCAAAATAGAAGTGTGTGTCAAAACAGACCTAAGAAAGCATGAAGTAAAGCAAAAGTAGGGATTCACAGGAATCCAAAACTGGCTTCACTCAGAATTGTCTCAAAAAGGTCTCATTTGTTCATTACAAAAATTTTGATGCTACCACCTTTGTAAGCTTTTTCAAGAAAGAATAGTATTTAGGGTGAGTGAGTCCCAGGCTATAACTAGTCATTAAAAGGACAGAAAGAAGCCATAGCAGCACACCGTCACTCTATTCCCAGCCCTGCCACCAGCTTTCCTTTCCCATTTCCTCAGTGTCTTTCACCTTCTTCCTCCATACCTCAAAGAGGCTGCAGTAACACCGTCATGAATTACTCGTGAGTTCTTACAACACTTTGAATTCCTTTAAACATAGCAGTCCTCTGATCTCCTCATTTCATATAACACGTATGCATGCGTATCACTTAGGTCAGGGGGAAAGGAAGAAGAGAAAACAGCAGGGAGAGAGAGGTAACTGCAGAATTATTACTGCCAGTGTGAATGTTCTTCCCACTCGTTAACCATCTGCCCTCTGAGCAACTGAAGAAAATTTTAAGGCTTTCCAAGTAAGTCAAGAAAGAAAAAATACGAAGTAATAATAAAACAGCAGACAGACAGGAAGGTTTAACTCTATGCATGTCAGCTGTTCCAACCTGGAGCGATACACTATGAACAGCATAATTTAAAAGTTATCATATTTTAGCATAAATATGCACATAATTAGCAGTAAGTCCAAACCAGAGTCCTAACTGCTTAGAATAGTCTTTGAAAAAATATAAGGTCCAAATCCTTCTCTCCACCCTTAAATGCAGATACTAGTCTCACCCACATAAGCTCTTCCTAAAATGCAAATATCCTCCAGTCCTACTTACATGGGGATCTCCAAATGCAAAGTGGGCTCTTTTCTGCTTTGCTATCTCCTTCCTCCATACCTACCGCCTTTCATACTGAAAAATTACACTAGTGCTTACCTTCCCAACAAAGGATAATGGCTATCAACATTTCCCCCATGAACTCAAAATATAGAGGTGCTCTAAATTATATGAATAAAACCATTACCATTAGAATAATCCCTCACAATATTCCCCTAATCCTTACAATTTCTCTTCACATCAGCCAAGAGACACTGGTGTGCCAAGGCAGCACATGAATCAAATTAACGACAATGAGCAAAAGTGTCACTTTTTCCTTTCAGGCTAGCTGAATGCCAAAAGTGAGAAGTGATCTTTTAGTGACACTTATGCACTGTTTCCGTTTTTCTTCTCAGTCCAAGGGAAATGCAAATACTTTCCATTAGACTGTCCAAGGTTGGGTGGGGCATGTATACATATGTACATGCACACACACAGATATATACACATACACACGTATTTGTAACATGACTGCCAGTATGATTACCTTCACCAACTCTTCAGCCCTTACTGGTCTTTAACCACCTGTCTTTCAAGTGCACACACACTCAAACAGCCATGCAAATAATTCATCTGGTCCATAAACAGATTCTGCCAAGGGTCCACTTTCTGACAAGACCCTCTAGAGCAGGCTGAAGGCAGGCTATAGGTTAGAATTTTACACCATGTGCTGGGAAAGGACCAAAGCAAGGTTCCCTTTCAGTCAGAGATGGTAACAGTGCCAGGTTATTATTACGTCACAGTACCTAAATTTGTTGATGTACGGTTTTGGGCCTGAACTGAAAATCCCTCTCTGGACAGCCTTCTGGCTGCATGCAGGCAAGGAACAGAGACGAGAAACGGCAAAGCCTGAGCAAGAGACAGGCTGCAAAAAATGTAAGCACCCAGCACGCTTAAAGACCATTGCCGCTTTCTGCTCTACCAGTGACCTCTAGCGGGGAGAGTGGAAAACAACAGCCCCTCTCCCTCTCCATACCACCCCTCACAAAGGAGTTAAACACAAGCCTCGACTCCATACTTTTCAAGGACCTTCAGTACTTTGCAAATTGCTAAAAAAAAAACCCTATTGCAAGCTGAGAAACTAGGGACAGGATAAGTAGGAAGACCCTCTCATCGATAAATGAGTAGGGATAAAAAACACAGATGAATTTGAATTTTAGTAATTTTGTATTCTGGAAAGCATTACAAAATAAGTGACTTTTTTTTTTTAACATTGAAGACCCCTACAGAAATTGGTTTGTCAGGATAAATAATGAGAAACCACACTGTAATTTCTACAAGGTAGGAAGCAAGAGGTGCTATGTAAGGCAAAGCATTACAGTAAATGAAACTTTCAGGACCCGCTCAGCACTAACGTGATACTCCATTTCACGAGTATTCCCATCTGATGTGGAGCATGCTGCTTAAAGCAAACTTTTCATGGATATTCATCACCTGCATGTTCTCCATCTAATGGCTGTCTGAATTAAGATCCTGTAGCAGTGGTCTGTAATGGAACTGAAGCTGTGCTTTGAATAGGTAAAAAAAAAAAAAAAGACCACATTATGGTAAGCATTCTCAGCATTGGCACCAGCTTACAGCATTAGCTTTTACAATTTTTTCTGGCTCAGTTTGCTATCTTAAAAAGGAAACTGCTTGTTATCCATGCAGGACTATCATGACAATTGCACATCTCTGTAGGCTATGTGGTACTTGAGAAACAGTTCAGGAATACTACTGTTTTCACAGCGGGATGTGAATAACATACAATAAATCAAGATTAGGGCCACACATATTTAGTAAGCGCTAACAAGGCTACTTATTTACAGTTAGGTTCTTATGGAAAAAAGCTTGCAGTCAGGAAAATAATAGAAGTTCAGGATCAAATTATTAACAATATGCACTTCGCTTCCAGTTTGTCCTAGCTTTGGAATGGTCAAATCAGCAGATTTGTTTTAAAATAACTGAACTTATATCATCAAAAGAAAAATAAACAATCCATGAGACCCAAATTGAACACATAATATGCGGGATCAAAAAATTCTTATTATCG